CTCCTACCCTCCACACTCTTCTCCTACACATACTGCCTGCCCTCTTATCCTCCACACTCCACTCATAAACATACTAGCTGCCCTCCTACTCTCCACACTCCTCTCCTACACATACTAGCTGCCCTCCTACTCTCCACACTCCTCTCCTACACATACTAGCTGCCTTCCTACTCTCCACCTCTCCACATTCCTCATCTACACATACTAGCTGCCCTCCTACTCTCCACACTCCTCTCCTACACATACTAACTGCCCTCCTACCCTCCACACTTCTTTCCTACACATACTGCCTGTTCTCCTACCTCCACACTTCTCTCCTACACATATTACCTACCCCCATAACCTCCACGCGCCTCTCCTACACATACTGCCTGCCCTCCTACCCTCCACACTCCTCTCCTACACATTCCCGTTGCATTCATACCCTCCACACTCCTCTCCTATACATTCTAGTTGCTCTCATACCCTCTACACTCCTCTCCTACACATTCTGGTTGCTCTCATACCCTCCACACTCCTCTCCTACACTTTACACATTCTGACTGCTATCATACCCTCCAGACTCCTCTCCTACACATTCTGGTTGCACTAATACCCTCCACACTCCTCTCCTACACATTTTAGTTGCTCTCATACCCTCCACGCTCCTCTTCTACACATTCTAGTTGCTCTCATACCCTCCACGCTCCTCTTCTACACATTCTAGTTGCTCTCATACCCTCCACGCTCCTCTTCTACACATTCTAGTTGCTCTCATACCCTCCACGCTCCTCTCCTACACATTCTAGTTGCTCTCATACCCTCCACGCTCCTCTCCTACACATTCTAGTTGCTCTCATACCCTCCACGCTCCTCTCCTACACATTCTAGTTGCTCTCATACCCTCCACGCTCCTCTCCTACACATTCTAGTTGCTCTCATGCCCTCCACGCTCCTCTCCTACACATTCTAGTTGCCCTCATGCCCTCCACGCTCCTCTCCTACACATTCTAGTTGCCCTCATGCCCTCCACGCTCCTCTCCTACACATTCTAGTTGCCCTCATGCCCTCCACGCTCCTCTCCTACACATTCTAGTTGCCCTCATGCCCTCCACGCTCCTCTCCTACACATTCTAGTTGCCCTCATGCCCTCCACGCTCCTCTCCTACACATTCTAGTTGCTCTCATGCCCTCCACGCTCCTCTCCTACACATTCTAGTTGCTCTCATGCCCTCCACGCTCCTCTCCTACACATTCTAGTTGCTCTCATGCCCTCCACGCTCCTCTCTCTACACATTCTAGTTGCTCTCATGCCCTCCACGCTCCTCTCCTACACATTCTAGTTGCTCTCATGCCCTCCACGCTCCTCTCCTACACATTCTAGTTGCTCTCATACCCTCCACGCTTCTCTCCTACACATTCTAGTTGCTCTCATACCCTTCACGCTCCTCTCCTACACATTCTAGTTGCTCTCATACCCTTCACGCTCCTCTCCTACACATTCTAGTTGCTCTCATACCCTTCACGCTCCTCTCCTACACATTCTAGTTGCTCCCATACCCTCCACGCTCCTCTCCTACACATTCTAGTTGCCCTCATACCCTCCACGCTCCTCTCCTACACATTCTAGTTTCTCTCATACCCTCCACGCTCCTCTCCTACACTTTCTAGTTTCTCTCATACCCTCCACGCTCCTCTCCTACACATTCTAGTTGCTCTCATACCCTCCACGCTCCTCTCCTACACATTCTAGTTTCTCTCATACCCTCCACGCTCCTCTCCTACACTTTCTAGTTGCTCTCATACCCTCTACACTCCTCTCCTACACTTTCTAGTTTCTCTCATACCCTTCCCACTCCTCTCCTACACATTCTGGTTGCTCTCATTCTGGAACGGAAATTATTTTTTTTAGCTCTTTACAAAATGATCTATGCAACATAATTCTGGCTATGGGTAACGTAACTTCAGCTGCCCGTCATCTCTGTCCTTACTCTTCCTTCGGTTCTAGCATACAGTATGTGGACACCACTATTTATTTCATATCATCTAGAGCAGTGTTTCTCAACCTTTTTGCAGTCAAGGCACCCTTTAAAATTGTGAACAGTCCTGAGGCACCCTTTAAAATTCTGGACAGTTTTGAGGCACCCCATTCTAACATGTGAAAAACTCTTCTAATAGTTTTCTATAACGCAGCAACATCCACACATGTAGGACACCCAACATTAGAGGTGATTTATTCTTCCAAAGCAAACACACTTTTGCACACTGGTACTGACTAGTATTCCAGTGTTTCTCCTCTCCCCTCAGTTTTTCTCCATCACTGAGCTAATGTGACCCCAGCACTGATGGAGAGGGGCGGGGGGAGGGTCACACTAGGATGCTGTGCAGGCAGCTGACATCCTCCTTATCAACTGAGGATGTCATTGGTTGTCAGGACGCCAACGGCTAGAAGGACGTAATGGTGCACAATGAAAACCTGTGACTTTGTGTAACTAAAAGGCAGGCTTGTTCTACCTGCTGGCTTGTATACAAGTTTTGGACAATTTTTAGACATTTTGCCAAGGCACCCCTGAAGAAACCTCAAGACACCTCTGAAGAAACCTCAAGGCACCCTGAAGAAACCTCAAGACACCTCTGAAGAAACCTCAAGGCACCCCTGAAGAAACCTCAAGGCACCCCTGAAGAAACAAATATAAAGATAACACCTCCTGCGCTCTAGGACTCAAACCAGAGGTGGAGGAATCGAGGAACCTCAAAACAATTCCACCAATGCATGGAAGGATGTGCAGCTCTACAACAAGGCTGGGGAAGCCCGACTGATACTGTGAAGAGAAGCAAAAAGAATGAGCACACCAACCTTGCACATTACCTCAGTAATTCAGTGATTTTATTAAATAAAATGTATAAACTCACAAACAAGCATTACAGATCCTCAAAGGAACTGGGGAGTGTAGAGCCAATTTATTTATTTATTTCAGGTACTTCTATAGCGCCATCAATTTACGCAGTGCTTTACATATATATTGTACATTCACATCAGTCCCTAACCCTCAAGGGGTGTACAATCTAAGGTCCCTAACTCACATTCATACATACACATATTATGGCCAATTTAGACAGAAGCCAATTCACCTACCAGCATATCTTTGGAGGGTTGGAGGAAAAACCGGAGCACCCAGAGGAAACCCACACAAGCACAGGGAGAACATGCAAACTCCAAGCAGAAGGCACCATGGTTGGGAATTGAACCCATTTACTGCACGGCAGAGGTGCTAACCACTAAGCCACTGTGCCAATGTAAGTCATGTCACGAGGGTAGACTTTCAAAGTGAGGCTGACGCGTTTCGAAGGGAGACCATTCTTCATCAGAGCCTCACTTTGAAAGTCTACCCTCGTGACATGACTTACATTGGCTCTACACTCCCCAGTTCCTTTGAGGATCTATAATGCTTGTTTTACATCCTTGTTTGTGAGTTTATATATTTTATTTAATAAAATCACTGAATTACTGAGGTAATGCGCAAGGTTGGTGCACTCTTTCTTTTTGCTTCACTTCACAACCCCTGAAGAAACCTCAAGGCACCCCAGGGTGCCTGGGCACCCAGATTGAGAAAGGCTGATCTATAGTATCTTTCCGTCCTCCCATTTTGTAGCTGAAGTGCTGACATCTACATTTGCATTACAGGTCCTCTCCTGACAAATGTCTTTCTTATCCTAGGGTACCACGGTGATTCCCCCCCCACCACCCCCTTGTTCATCCTAGAAATAAATAGGAGACATTCCTTATTTCTCTATCTGCATTTCCTTTTTATATCCACTGGAGTGAAGTCAGAAATGTTTTAATTTTTTTTTTTATTAATCCATCAATATAAAAATACATTTATAATAATATCAATTAAATTAAGTATATAAATAAATAATACTTTGTATAAATACAGTTTTATACATAAATAAATACATTATTTTTTTTACGACATCAGATTTTCAGTGAACTTGGGTCCACTGTTAGGAAAGGCTTTTCAGTAGGCGTTGCCTTCTAACGCGCGATGAGAGTTGACTGGCCAACAGGAGGTTCCTCCGTATTTCTGCATGGGCAGATCTCTTGGCACATACATCATCCTGCATAATACAACGAGGTAAATGTTGGTGTGTGTGTGTATAAGGAAGCCATAGACATTCAGACAGACAAATAACCAACAAATATTCTGATGGTGACATCCATACACCATCTGTGAACAACCAGCTATCTTTTCAGTTCCTTCTATTTTCCTGCTATTTTCTCAGTCCCCACCTGAATTGGTTTCACCCCAAAGCCCCTCCCCTGAGGATCTATTGATAATAGAGGTGTTTTTATTTTTTTTTAACTAAAACAGGAGCGTGCAAAATCGGATGCAGCTCTGCATAGAAACCAATCAGCTTTGCCAAAGCTTAAAGTGTTACTAAACCCACAGCAGTAAAATCAGTCTGTATATGCAGTAAAGCATGCTTGTTATACTCACTGTGGGGCCTAAGGAATTAATCCTCCACATTGTGTAAAAGGGATGTTTGATTCTCTCTTCTCTGATCCTCCCCTTCTTTCAGTGTCTCCTAAATATCTTCTGATAGAAGGGGCAAGCTGCACATGTTCAGTTTGGTGTGTATTGCTAGAGAGTTTTTTTTTCCTTGCATGTGATCAGCACAGGGCCAATCAGCACTCTCCAGACAGAGGTCGGAGGTCCTGCATCCACCCACAGGAGAATGAAAAAACTCCTCCTACAAGCTTTAACAAGTGCTTTGCTGGACACTGATAAAAGTTAAAAGACTGCTGATGAGAATTTGCACTTTATATTTACTAAAATAATTGGATTTTCATGTTCTGTGTACTGTGGGAGACCAGATATAGTGAATGCAGGGTCCGGGGAGACCGGATATAGTGAATGTAGGGTCCGGGGAGACCGGATATAGTGAATGCAGGGTCCGGGGAGACCGGATATAGTGAATGCAGGGTCCGGGGAGACCGGATATAGTGAATGCAGGGTCCGGGGAGACTGGATATATTGAATGCAGGGTCCGGGGAGACCGGATATAGTGAATGCAGGGTCCTGGGAGACCAGATATAGTGAATGCAGGGTTCGGGGAGACCGGATATAGTGAATGCAGGGTCCAGGGAGACCAGATATAGTGAATGCAGGGTACTGGGAGACCGGATATATTGAATGCAGGGTCTGGGGAGACCAGATATAGTGAATGCAGGGTCCGGGGAGAGCGGATATAGTGAATGCAGGGTCCGGGGAGAGCGGATATAGTGAATGCAGGGTACTGGGAGACCGGATATATTGAATGCAGGGTCCGGGGAGACCAGATATAGTGAATGCAGGGTCCTGGGAGATCAGATATAGTGAATGCAGGGTCCTCTGAGACCGGATATAGTGAATGCAAGGTCCGGGGAGAGCGGATATAGTGAATGCAGGGTCCGGGGAGACCAGATATAGTGAATGCAGGGTCCTGGATTTAGTAACACTTTAACTGAACAAGCTGAAGTTTGAAGCTGATTGGCTACCATGCACTGCTGCACCAGATTCGTAGTGCTCCAGTTTTAGTAAATCTCCCCCAAGTGTGTTAAGACGAGAAGGGCAACTTACCTGTTCCTCTAGAATCCTCTGCAAAGTAACAAATTGCTGTCTGACTCCCTGTATGAAGAGCTGGTTCTCTGCTCCTTCTGGGATCTGAAAGATAGAAAACATCCATATATAACTCTCCCGTCCAGGGGGCGGACTGACCATTTAGCCACTTGGGCACTGCCCGAGGGCCCGGGGGTCAGTAGGCGGCCCCATGAGATGCCCCTGGTACCTTTCATAGGCTTTTTTAGGTGTGGTGTGAGTGTGGGCGAGGACACAGGGGCCCCATGATTTCCCATTGCCCGGGGGCCCCATGAGTTGTCAGTCCGCCCCTGCTCCCGTCTATACATGCTGGGGAGGGAGGGGACAAGCTGGGGCTCATCTGGACACTTACACAGTCAGACAGCTGCTGCTCCTGGTAATAGAGGAGCTCCTGAAGCTTCTCCCAGGCAGGCCAGTGGTGGTCCAAATTCTCCCTGTATCTCCTATAGAACTGGATGGTTTGGTTGACAATTTCACGCACAGCGATGGCCGCTGACTCAACCTGGAACAATTCAATCATCAATAATACTTCACAGCTGAGAGATGGTATTAGTAACATGTGATTAGCTCATTTCTCATGACGATAAACCGTGCTTTATATGAATTATGATAGACATTCATTTTGTCAGATTTCTGTTGCTGTATGTTATCCTATTTCCAGGGATTTCCCCTCACTTTTTATCATTATTAAAGAAGGTCAGGAAATGAAGGGAGCTGAATCTTTCTGGTTTTCTTGCTATTTGTGCACCCATTGGAGGATTATTCAATCAATTCTTGTCCCTGTGACATCCTATCAGATTATGACACATGAGTTGTCATTCAGTGTGGTGAAATATCCCTAATGGGGATCCAGACAAAAACATGCGTGAGGTTCAACCCACATGAAGAAAAATATATTTGAAATATATTTTTAAAATATTCTTCACAAATATATTGCCATATGTTTGAAATGCTACAATTTTGGGCAAATTAAATATATTTCAAAATATATTTCAATAAATATATATAATATATATATATACTGCATGTTGAAATGCGTTTTTTATATATTACAAAATATATGAAAAATATTTTTAAAAAAATATATTTTTTTAAATATACTCCAGATTTTTTTTAACATATAAAAAAGTAATTTTTTAACATATATTTTTACATATATTTGTAAATGCACTCCAAAAATGTAGATTTGTATTTTTAAATCTACATTTTTGGAGTGCATTTACAAATATATGCAAAAATTTATGTTAAAATTACTTTTTTTATATGTTAAAAAAAATCTGAAGAGTATATTTAAAAAAAATATATTTTTTTAAAATATTTTTCAGATATTTTGTAATATATATAAAACGCATTTCAACATGCAGTATATATATATATATATATATATATATATATATATATATATATATAAATATATTGAATATGGCCAAAATTGTAGCATTTCAAATATATGTCAATATTTGGGAAGAATATTTTAAAAATATATTTCAAATATATATGGGAAACCCTTCCTTCACTCCAATTAGAGCATGGAGTTGGGCTAAAACCCTTAGGATAAACACTTTTTTAATTACTATAAAGCACATACTTTATGCTGTCTCTTCAAACCAAGATGCATTTAGGGGAAATTTAATTTTTAAATGGTAGGCCTTTAAGTCTTTCCCCCTCCTTGCATCTAAAACATCACACTTTAGGCAGCACTGATTATACAGATCTTCCCCATCCTGGTGGGTCTGATTAGAGATGTAACATTTCCGGAAATTTTGAAGTCGTGAGAAAAAAAAGTTGTTTTTTTTTCTGGAAAAATTGAATTTTTTGGAAAAAAAAAAAATTCAGTGTGGAGTAGTTTTACAAATTGAAAGTCATTTTGTTACACTGGAAACATGAAACGTAGTATATATAAAAGTAGTGTGCTCAAAAGAAATCTACAGCTTATTCAGGAAATAAACTAAACTTGCTTTTTAAGGTTTATGATGATCCAGAAGCAGCAGAAAAATAGTGCATTTTAATGTCTTTAGGGCACCTCTGACATGCAAGGGTGTTTTTTGTCATTGTTGTAGCATTTGGAAAAGAATATTTCTCCTCACACTATTTGCAAATTGCAGCTTTGCTCTGAGCAGAAATTGCACCGTGGAAATGTGTCCAAACTCTAGATGTTAATCTCACCATTTTACTGAGAGGAGAAAAAGTAAAAAAACAATTTACTGAGCAGACTATAAGGAAACTTTATGTTGTCATGACGGAGAACATAATAGGAATCATTTAAAGGTTATAAAGATAAACTAATTTGTCTGAAAGATTTACCTGTCGATTAAGGCCTGAGAGGACAGAAACGATCCTGCATCTCAACAATCACCCAACTGTAGGAGATGCAAGATGGACTATAAACAATCTAAACTGGAGCCTTTCCCCTGCAGTGCCCCCTAGTGGCAGAAATGCCTATTTCTTTTGTTTGAGCGCTGCGTTGAGAAGTACAGTGTTACTTGAACTGTATTCCAGGATTTGTTGCTTTCAGCTGCGAGAACTTGCAATAATTTAAGACTTTACATAAAGTCTCAGAAATCTTTAATATCTTCATGTTATATAGTTTAAATTCTGTGTCATAGATATATTGTTTATCATTGTAAATTCCACACTCTTTTTTTTAAATTTTTCCGGAAAAAAAAAAATAAAAAAAAAATTGTTTTTTTCTCCAATTGTTCGTTTTTTTCATCTCTTTAATCTCTAGGTCTGATCAGCTTTGGAAATGAATTTCTTCTGCTCTACAACCAACCAATCCCCCATTCTATGGCGACAGTGTTATTGTCTTCACATGATGAACCCAGCTGTCTTGAGTACGTCAAAGAGCTCCCAATATGGAGCATTACTTACCTTAGAGATTTGGTAGAGATGCTTGATATTGGGGACACTGAAGTTACTTTTGAGACAAACTTCAGGAGAATCTTCAGCTATAATCTGTAAATGCACAGCATGATAGATTTACTCTCCTTAAATACATTCAATGTCTACAATGTATACAACACAATCAAGAAGGAGAGAGATAAGAAGAGAAGCTCAGAATGGGCATGGAGAAAGGAAAGGATTGGTGTGGTGGCATTCGACCTTCTGGTTTACCAGGAAGACCATTGACCCCCATGATTCGGGAGGACAGACCAGAGGTGGCTTGAACCTCCATTTCTGATTTTACATAGCGGAGGGAGGCCAAGACCCCATTGGGGCTGGAGAAAGCATTTGGATGTATGGGGATGCATCAATGAGACAGGGGAGGACTGACAACTCATGGGGCCCATGTGTCCTTGCCCAAACTCAAAAAAGTCTATGAAAAAGGTACCAGGGGCATCTCATGGGACCTCTGACCCCGGGCCCTCGGGCAGTGCCCCAGTTTCCAAATGGTCAGTCCTCCCCTGCAATGAGACCAACCATGACAGAGATGGGCAGAGCAGAAAATAATTGGCTGTAACTCACCATCTGGTTGAAGTTGTGCAGAATCTGTCTGGTCACCACTTCTTGGTTTCGATGGAGCCACTTGCAGGTTTGGGCAGAGACAATGGAGCTGAGGCTCAGGAACATGAGAATTGTCCAGTAATATGTGGTAGTCATTGTTGCTGGGAAAGTAAACAAGATACATTTAAATATGAGAATTCTATACTAATATATCAGCAGATGTTGTGGAGCAAGAAAGGACGGCTCTTACCTGTGTCTATTGGACTGCCCTGTAGATGTTCTCCTTTTTCTCCTGGGTCTTTGCAGTGTCCTCAGGATTCTGGGCCTGTTTGGTCCTTGCGATGTTCTGATCTCCATCTTCTCCTCTGCACTTTTATACACCGAGAGGGAACCCATTACTAGATATCAGAAAAGTGAAATCTGTGAATCTGGGATCTTCCTGAGCGGTTTTATTTTTCCTTCCCCAAACTTGTCAGTATGTTTTCACGTCTGCGGAGACCTCTAGTGGGGTTTTCATTTATTAATCTTCATGTACAGAGACGTAGTGAAATCTCTAAAAACTGAACTGAAAATTCCGCTTCTATGTTGACGAAGTCCTACAACTTGTCTGTATACGGGGTGCAATTCCTAATCTGCTGTATCTGATATAGACAAGACTAGACATTTTCACAGACATTTTTGCAGCTGAGGTGTGATATTACATAGCAAGTCTCCTGTATATACCTTTGTATTGCCATAACAACAAGGCTGCTAATATACTTTTTTACTGTAATTGATGTCACTATTATTTTTTCTATTTTGTTCTTTCCGGAACTGTGTCACTTCGGGGCTGCTGTAAAACATGAATAGGACCACAATGCTGTTTCAGAGATTGAGGAGATAAGTTGTGTTTACAGACATCAGATGAACTGTGCAGCCTATACAGGAGTACCATGGCTTACAAACGCCTCGGTTAACGTAATTTTCGATTTACGAATGAAAATCCATTGAAAATTACACCTCAGTTTACGAATTTTTTCTGACCTCTCGAACGGATTAATTGGTTTTCAATGCATTTACAAATTTTTTTTTTAATCATGTCCCTGTACAGTATTATGCCTTTAAAGTGCACTTTATAAAGAGTTTTGAACAGATAATACTTTTTTTTATTTTTTCTGACCTCTCGAATGGATTAATTGGTTTTCAATGCATTTACGAATTTTTTTTAATCATGTCCCTGTACCGTATTTATGCCTTTAAAGTGCACTATATAAAGCGTTTTGAACAGATATTTTTTTTTACTTTTTTCTGACCTCTGGAACGGATTAATTGGTTTTCAGTGCATTCCTATGGTATATGAATTTTTTGCAAAACGAAAAGTCCCGCAGAACGCAATAAATTCATAAACTGAGGTACGCCTGTATGTACTATATGTAATG